ACTCCATGTTTTGTATAATCTTGAGCTACAATTCAATCCTCAGAACTGATGAAGTTTAGTCTCTTACCTGCAAGAATTACTACTGCTGTAGTGAGAAAATCATCTGATTGTGATTGTAAAACATGTTCCCTGAACCAAGTTCTATAATTCTTAAGCATTTTCTTTTAGACTTTTCACTACTAGGTGATTAGACAAGTCAGAGAAAGGAATCTAACAGAGCAGATTAGATGATCTACCTTGTGAGTTAAAAAACCAAAACAAAACCCACAACTACAGCAAAAAAAAAAAAAAAAATCCCCCAAATCTACCCTCCTCCCTTCTATCCCCTTGAAACAAAAGAAGTTGAAGACTCTTCACTAATTGTGAGTGTTTTGTTCTCTGCCCCAACTCTGGCAGACAGAGGCTGGAAGATATTTTAATTCATGGCAGACAATAGAATACAAAATCTGTCCAGCAGAAAAGGGCGTAAAGCACTATTTTCACGCACCCTCCAACACATTTCATAGAACAACAAATGGGAGAAGAGACACTGGAACCAGCTGTACTACTTCTGTGCAGACACCCTAGTGACTGGCAAGGAGTATCTAGGACAGTGTCACTTCCTTTAGTATTACAGATCCCCAGAACAGGTCCTCCCAAAGCAGAACACTCACATCTACATCTGGTCTTTTCAGCAAGTCTTCCACTTTAGCAACATCTCCATTGGCAGCAGCTTTAACCAATTCTTCATTGAGATCTCCAGATTCTTGGGTTTCAAATAATTTCTTCAATAGCTGGGACAATCTCTCTATAATTATTAAACAAAGGACAATTCAGATTACAATTCTAATCACACAGGAACAGAAAAGTAACAGCTAAATTTGTCATGTTTCTAAAGGCATGTACACAGTAATACACAAACCACCATGAAATGGCAGCTGTAAGTTATTATTCAGTTCTGAGTAAGTGCTGCACCCCAATACCCTTTATAGTTGAGACTGTCACATCAGACACTTCAAAACAAAGTTGACTGAACCATAAATAGCTTGTCTACCACAAAATAGAGAAGGGTGGGGAGGAGGTAAAAACATGAATTTACATATTGATATAACAGGCTGCTTAGTCTTCTACCTTAACTTACGGTATATCCTGCTCTCTGTGATTTGAAACACTTAGTCATATTACTCTTCTAACTAGTTTTATGGCCACCGTGACTTTATCTTTACTGCAGAAAACTCACTGTATCTATGCCTCCCTAGGAAAAAGTCTATAAAACTACCTAGAAAGGTTTCTTGGCATTAAAGCAAGTATGTGAAGAGGAAAAAAACAACTAGCTATGAACAAAAAAAAAAGGAAAAACATTCTAGTTTAACTGATCTGTGAAATAGCCAACAACATAAAACACATCGGATAGTCTTTCTGCCTTGTTATCAGATGAATTAGAACAGGTTCAACAGAACTCAAATCTGATTACGTAGACACACACAAAAAAATCCCACTGTAATTAGTCACAGGATGTCTGACTAAATTTTAAGACAGAAATTTTAAGGAAAGAATATTATCCTGAGTAATTGCTTGCAACAGATCCCTCGCTTGTTTTTGCTATCCTACACCACCTATTAAACAAGGAGGATGTTGCTTGCTACAGTCAGTGACACTGTCTTCATGCCTTAGTCCCTATTCCAATCTAATGTCCCTTCCAATCATTTAAATTTTAAAGTCCTTAGAGCAGACCTCCAAAGACATACCTGCACTGTGGCCAAACAGAAACCCAAATTCGATTTGGAGTTTTTGTACCTTATCAGGGCAACAACAACTTCTCCATACAGACTGCAAGCTTTTTATTGTATCTTTCTTTAAGGTATAACATCAGTTAGCCAAACCCCAAGTCTGACTATTATTAACCTTACACACAAACTATGTACTAGTTAGTACTTATTAACATTTTTTGTGATTAACACAAATACTTGCTATACATACATTACTGGATATTCTTCAAACTTACCACCAGATGCATTACTTATAGCAGAACCTGCTGATGCCACCTTTGAGACAGCTGCTGGATTATAAGTCCAAGATGTCCCACAAACCTCTACTTTTAAGTCACTGTCTGAATAGATCTGCTGCACCCGACCAACTTTACCTAAAGTCTGCATTAAAGAAAATGTCAAATGCAAATAATGCTAAAAAGAAAATATTTCAAAATCTGAATGTTATAATGAGTCACAAATTTTACAAAGTCAGTTGTTTAACAGTACAGTCACTAATACCTTTAGCTAAATTTCATCAGGCTAAGCAGATTACTACATCTGAGCAAATATTACACTGTGTCTGATGAAATACACTTTCTCTACCTTAGAAGAAAAAAACACTTTGACTCCCACAACCTCCAGGTATTATTACCAACCATAACTAGAAATGTTATACAAGTTTTACAATGCTATGAATCCAAACATGTAACTACTTACTGGAAGCATTGCTTCAGCCCACTCTCCATGACCTCTCTGAAGAAGCTTGATTCGTTCTAAGTCATAACATACTTGAACAAGGTCACCCACTTGAAATTGAGAGGTACCTCCTTCTGCACCTTGAGCAGCATCTCCACTTCGGACAACATTGGCTTTTGTGAGAACAGCTGGATTAAACGTCCACCTAGACAATGAATCATTTAAAGTAGATTTTAAACGTGAAAAGTGAAATATATGTTTAAAAATTATCTGTTGGACAACATTCTGCTTGTATGCCTACAAACTTTAGGCAACTGGATACTACGGCATATTTGTTGTTAAACCTTTTTTTTGCCTATAAACTTGTCCGTGGCTCATTAGTTGAATATTTTCAGGGTAATCTTCAGAGATGTACCTTTGTAAAGCAATGAAGAAATAGTCTGCCTAAGGGGAAGAAAGTTGACAGCAATACAATAGCTCTGAGAGTAGCTATACAGTTTATTTTTCCAGTGAGAGGAGGAGATGACTTTGGTTGAAAAGAAGATCCAAGCTGTCTCACAAAGGACTGGACTGTAAGGAAAAAACACGGGAAGAACACGGGATTTTGCCCGCTCCCCGCCAAGTCAAAAGCTGTAACATTCAGTTATAAAAATACTCTTCAATCAACTGGATGTCCTAGACCCACCTCAATTTTTAACCAAACTATTCTAATTTGTACTATAAATTTTACTGATTTAGAGGTATTCAGCTGATTTTATGCCTAGTTATATTCTAACAGATAATATGGTGATCTCTCCTTTATGTGCCATTTGGTCTAGGGTTGACTTTTATTTAGCTATCTGATCTGAGAAGCATCAGATAATCTCTATAAAGTGCAAAGTCAGGGGGGAAACCACAACATCAAGCAGCTCCTCTTGCTGGCTCTGCAGCCATGACTGTAAGAAGAAAAGCCACTTGCAGCCCTTCAGCTTGTGACAGCTGGAAAAACAACTTTGTTTTGCATTACTTTGCAATATTAACAAACAGCATCTTGAGGGAAAGCCTGAATGAATAATGCACTGTTAATCTTTTCTGCACAAACTGGTCAGTCTCCAGATACAATGAAATCATATTCCATTCATCAGCTGCTTTTTAAAGATAAGCCCAATACTTGAGAGCAAGACAACACAAAACCTTGTGGACATATCAGCTCAGATGCAGCTGTAGAGCTCGGTTTGAATCCTGTTAGCATTAGATGCATCTCAAACTTCAAACCTAAACTGCTTGCAGGCAGTCATTTTGGCAACAGCTTCCCCAACACTTCCCATTCTTGGTATATATTTACATAAATTAACAACCCTTTGAATAAGAAAATGCTAGATATAGATAATGCCAAGGTCACTGTATTAGACAAGATCAACAACATAAAGTTTGTCACCTATCATCTTAACCCATTTTCCTGAAAACCCGCAATGCCTTGCTATTACCATTCCCCTTGAAACCATGGTATTTAAAAAAGAAATTACTGTTTAAAACACTACATTTTGGAAATAAGATAGCCCAGAATGTCATTTATTATTTTGGACTCAAATTTTCACCAAGTGAGAGAGGCAACAAACTTTTTTCCCCACTAAAACATCTTTAAAGGTAAGTCCTCGTCACACATTGTAGAAGGTATATAAAAATTCTCAAGAAAACAATAGATACAAAAGCACAACAGGAAGTCTCTAGCACCAAGTGATCATAAATGCTGAAGGCAAAAGAAGTTTCTGAGAATCAGTAATGAAGGCTATGTAACAAACCTGTTGCCACTTGGATATTGTACTACAATGTCATGATCCTCATCAATGCCACAAACTGTTCCAGTCGTTGTTAAAGTTTCAAACATGCCATCAGTCCATCCTCCATGACCATGCTGCAAAGACTGTACAATTTCCAAATCAAGGTCAATGTTTACAAGGTCACCTATTTGCAGCCCACCAGGGTTTCTGTTACCATTTTGCTCACCTGAAATGGAATAAGAAAACGTTCACATCAACACACTAATCTCTGAGAATCGATGTCTCTGCAACTGTAGCAGCCAATAGCTAAATAGGAGTGAATAAGTGAAAAACAACTCTGAACCTCTAGCTATGGCATTGTGTATTTCTTGTTCAGTTTTCAAGGTAAATAGCAATGACACTGCTAAATGCTAAATACTTCTAAAAGGCTCCACTATGGGCTCTAACTGGGATGGTAACAGCTATCATATGGTGTTAGGCATGTAGATATATAAAAACTCTGATAATTTTGAGAGTCATACAGAAAGTGCCATCTATCCACTCAGAGGCTGAAAAATAAGCAGAATGCCCACAGAAAGTGGTTTTGAATTTGGTCAGTCCTTGAATGTGGACAAAGCACTGCCAAAAGAATACCTCCAAAATGACCAACAATGAAAATCTTTAACCTTTTAACTGGGGAGATGATTACAAACAAAAAAAAAATTTGTAAATTTAAAATTAAAATGTTTTCCCTGAACAATGCCTGCTTTCAAAAGATGTGCCATAGCAAAAATTAATTAGCTGGAGGGAAATGGCATACGTTCACACACATCAAGCTGTGTTAACTGATGAGAGAACACACTTGTGGACCTGCTCACTGCCAGAACCAGAGGCTGGTATCTGCTGCCATCCACAGAACAGTGAAGAGTACAACTGCAGAAGTCATGGAGATTGAGTTCAATGACAACGTCAGTGGCAAAGGACAGGCTGTGCAGAGTTCCTTTAGTAGTATTGCTGTCTCTAAGGAGGATGGGGGGGAAATGTTTGTTTTCCCTCTTGCAAGCAAGAAGCAATAATGGAGAAAGGGTTCTCGCACTGTAACGATAAGGAAGCACAAACAAATAGCCTGACGCAGAGACAAAAACATTATTTGGAGGGAGATTGATTCAAGAGCCTGAAATCCACACCAGATGCTGGCAGCACTAGAAGTCTCCAGAGGACAGAATGGGTGAAGAAGAGAATCCAATACTACTGAAGAAGAAACTGCTGAGAAAGAAAACATACCTATGAATACGTGTTCATGTTCAATGGACTTTGACTTCTATGACCACCCAGTAACTTCTTTCTGTCCCTGTTCTTAGTTTAAAGAACCTATAGATGGAACGCTATTTTCAGTCTGCACCCTTCACAGTAAAACACACATAACATGGAAACTGCCACTTCTACAGAGGACAAAGTCAAAGATTATTTCTTCAGAAAAGCTACTGATACGGAACTCACTAAATAGAAAACTTAAGACAGCAAACATCTCAGACAGCCTTGATCAGACAGGGAACTCTAAGAAAGGAAGGGATATAGAACAGCAAAGAACTGTAGAAGCATTAGTTGGAGGAAAGGATCTCTAGAGGTCATCTGGTCTGATAGCGCACACAAAGCTGAACTAACAACCAGCTGAGGTCAGCTGTGGCTTTGCGTATCTGAGTCCTGAAAGCCCTGAAGGACTAATTCCACAACCTCTCCAAATAACTTTTTCCAGTGCTGCAATATAGAGCTGGAAATAAAAAAATAAAGAAAATTTCTTTAATATCTGACCTGAAACTCTCAAGTCACTTAAGGTAGCCTTAAGGCCACTACCTTTTATTATTTTCCTTTAATGCCATTTGCCACTAGCAAAATTTTGGTGACATCATTTTCGATCACCCTTCAAGTTGTTGTAGGTGGCTGGTCAACCTCCTTCTTACCAGACTGAACAAGCCCTGCTCCTCCTCCTTTCAAATCATGTCTTCT